TTTTTTTTAGTGTTCTGTCTGACGACAGGTCCATATGAACAGGATTCTTCCATCCTTTTCTCGGACTGGGACTTGTTCATATACGTTCTTGGCAGATGATCCAGCAGTGGTTTGCCATTGCCTTCTTCTGTGTGTGAATGGAGTAATTGTTGGGATGCCACGGAGGAAAACTCCGTGTTGCCTAGACCACGGCCTTGCCCAACACAAGTTATAAATTCAGGCTGTATATTTTTATCTTTATGTCTTTAGATAAAAGATGGGAAGATGAACAAGTCTGAACTGAATGATCGCAAGCATTCCCCGAGTTCTCTGATTTTAATTTCTTTCGGAATTTTATTTTGATTTGTTACTGTCTGTCTACTGTACAATTATGAGTCCAGAATTTCAAATTTGCAACACTTTCAAAGAATATACTAGGTACCTTTTGTTCCGACTGATCTGCTTCACAAAGTAATTGTTAATTAAATAAGTAATCGATCAGTTATAGAAGCCGAGAACAAATACACAAATCATGTAACTGGCAGACAGCAGAGTTTGTGTTTATGCTACTACTGAAATACCATATTTATTACAATTACTGCTGCTTGACAGATTTTTGCAGTAATCCAGATCCTGTGAATAACCGAATGTCGAAACAAGCCAGACGTAATCTGCCGCAGTATTTGATTGCCACTCACGATGAAAGTTATCATAAACTTACGTGTCGAAAGCGGCTTGTAAAAATAAATTTCTGTGAAATTTATTTTTAATTTATGGTTGGATTTCATTCGGGTTAAATCTTTCAACTGTTTTTATTACAGAATTGGACAGTTTATCAGCACAAAGGCTGTAGGAAAATGGGAGAGAGAAGACATAACCAAAAACTACAAATATCCAGAAAGTGAGTATAAAATGTGGCATTAATAAACAGGACTCTTTATTACTGAATGTTGCAGCTGTTAGAGTCATTAGTATTCCTGCTTCATATTTACAAGGTCCTGGGTTCAAATCTTAGCGTAGAGGCTGGCTATCATGGTTGAAGTTTTTGACGGGTTTTTTTTCAGTCCCGACAGTAATTGCTGGGATGGTACCATCAATTAGGCCTCCACCCATTTCTTCCATATCCTTTCTAATTTATTATTAATTGACCATCGTATAATTTAATGTTATATAGTGTGAGCTGCTATCGGCATTATTAAATAAAGTATAAATAAAATAAGACACGACGAAGATGGAGGTTCACGCTTTGTAAGTAATGGAGGTGCAATATCTTCTCATTCCCAGTCTGTTTACTTCCAGGAGAAGCACACATGCAATAACTCACATTTTTGTAGGTTTTGACACATAAAAGTTACAGATAAAATTGCATGTTTCATGGGAAATGTGAAGTTTGGATTCAGAGGAAAAAAACAATGTAGTTCTCTTAACATTTTATTTAAAACAACAAAGATGGGTCTTGTAAATTATCTCTTGTGTACAGAATTAAACATCAATTAAATGAATTAATGCATTTCAATCAATGTATGGTAGATAGCAGCACAGAAGTATGTTTTTCACCATGGATGGTGGTTATGTGTACACAGTACTAAGATTTCTGTCTCCTGGGTTCTTGCGCTGTGTAGTCTGGTCGATGTGTACCAACGTTTCAGAGGTCATACTGCCTCCGTCATCAGAGTATGAAGATTTCTGTCTTCTGGGCTGTTGCGCTGTGTAGTCTGGTCGATGTGTACCAACGTTTCAGAGGTCATACTGCCTCCGTCATCAGAGTATGAAGATTTCTGTCTTCTGGGCTGTTGCGCTGTGTAGTCTGGTCGATGTGTACCAACGTTTCAGAGGTCATACTGCCTCCGTCATCAGAGTATGAAGATTTCTGTCTTCTGGGCTGTTGCGCTGTGTAGTCTGGTCGATGTGTACCAACGTTTCAGAGGTCATACTGCCTCCGTCATCAGAGTATGAAGATTTCTGTCTTCTGGGCTGTTGCGCTGTGTAGTCTGGTCGATGTGTACCAACGTTTCAGAGGTCATACTGCCTCCGTCATCAGAGTATGAAGATTTCTGTCTTCTGGGCTGTTGCGCTGTGTAGTCTGGTCGATGTGTACCAACGTTTCAGAGGTCATACTGCCTCCGTCATCAGAGTATGAAGATTTCTGTCTTCTGGGCTGTTGCGCTGTGTAGTCTGGTCGATGTGTACCAACGTTTCAGAGGTCATACTGCCTCCGTCATCAGAGTATGAAGATTTCTGTCTTCTGGGCTGTTGCGCTGTGTAGTCTGGTCGATGTGTACCAACGTTTCAGAGGTCATACTGCCTCCGTCATCAGAGTATGAAGATTTCTGTCTTCTGGGCTGTTGCGCTGTGTAGTCTGGTCGATGTGTACCAACGTTTCAGAGGTCATACTGCCTCCGTCATCAGAGTATGAAGATTTCTGACTTCTGGGTTGTTGTGCTGTGAAGTCTGGTCGATTTTAACCAACGTTTTACAGGTCATGCTGCCTCCGTCATCTTACATGTACACAGTACTGTTCTGATTTTTAGTAAGAGTAAGGTGGGAGCTCTATGTTCAACATCACATGAGTTGGACCCACAAACATTTTGATGAATACACGTGAGAAACTTAATATTCATCTAGTGTATTGTAATTGCAGAGAGTGAAGAGGAAAGGGCAGCCATGTTGAAGGCACTCCGGCAGAGTGAGAATCTTTTCAGTCGCTACTATCTTAATGAAGACTTCAATGACATTCAGTTTGATTTTGAACTCAGGGATGACATTGTAATTGGTTCTCCGTTCAGGTATATTAAACAAACAGTGATACATTCTACCTTTAAATTTTGTAATGTTTTTACCAGTGCATGCATTTAATGAAGTATTTTGAAGAAGGTAGACTGTTTTTGAGGCAGTGAATAGTCAGTAAATTTATGTGGTATTTGAAGGGTTGAAACATTTGTACATCAGAAAATAATGGTGGGAAAATTTAAAGTAACGCAGATTCTCATTACTCAATTTCATTGCCTCAAAACTCCCTCAGTTAAAGAACTGAACCAGTTTTCATCTTGGCAAAATTATATGAATGATGTGTAAGATAAAACCTATAGGAATTTTTTGTAAAACATAATTTCATTTTGTGGAAGATACACCTACATTTATCTAGATTTATGTAGTTTGTGTTGTACTGATGTAAATGTAAAGTCTGAAAGGGGACACACATACTCAAACACAGACAGTATGGTGTCCTTGTAAACCCATATTATTTTGTTTTTAAGAAGGGAAATTGGACTTAAAAAGAACAAGGAATACAGAAACAGGTCAACTCTGAGCAGCCATTTTAAAACATACATCATGCATACACATCGGACTGATCTAGTTTTGTCCTTGACAAAATGAGTTCGGAAAACACTAGTGTTTTCAACGTCCCGCCATACAAAGACTGAGCTTACACAATGTCTTAAATGAAGCAGAATTTAATAAGTAACATTTGAGGTTTTCACAACGGTGAGTATGAAGATTTCTGTCCTCTGGGTTGTTGCGCTGTGTAGTCTGGTCGATGTTAACCAAACGTTTAGAGGTCATACTGCCTCTGTCATCAGGGCGATGATATTCATCTACACAGCGCAACAACCCAGAAGACAGAAATCTTCAGAATTTAATAAATTATCAAGAAATGCTGGAAAATGTAAAAAAAATGGACTGATGATATTTTGGAAGTATACTCTTCAATTGTGAACATAAAAATACTACTCTAATAATATAAAACAGTATGTTTTGAATTTAGATTATATTTTTTTTACAAATGAAACTTGCATGTGACTTGGTAAGAATAATTGTGTGCATAAAAAATTTGAGTTATAAATAATGGATTGCGAATGAATAAGAATCATAAATAGTCAACAACTACTGAAATACTGTCGACTTATATTTCAGTGTGGTTGTGATATTGAAAAACCGTAGCCGCAATAAGGACCACACAGTTACTGTGACTTTACGGGTGGACACTGTCCTCTACACTGGTCGCCATAAGGATGCTGTCAAAAAAGATAAAGAGGAACGTCTTGTTAAAGCAGGAGCAGGTAGGTGTTCTTAGTATGGTCGTGTACAGGTTTTTGGAGCTCCAGTGTTATCACTGTGTTCAGAAGAACTTTTCCTCAAACTTGTACAGAAAGTAGTAGGAATATGCATAACGTCAAAAATTAAGGCAGTTCCTAATTATTTTAAAAACTTGGTCCCACACTGTATCCTGTTTCAGGAGTTTGGAAGGACAATCTCCTGGTATACTGGTCCAGTATTTTCAATATAGTACATCACATTTTTAATTTATTTAATTTTTTTTATCCTCTGCCCACTTTGATAGCTGTGGGACATTCTGGTGGGCTTTCTGTACTCTTTAAAGTACCTGGTAAGTCCCATTTAGAAATATGTGTTAACTAATTTTTACAAATTGTTATGTTCCACATAAAATTAATATTCTTAAGTCAATAAAATTCCAAAGTAAGATTTGAGGTTCTCACAGTGGCAAGTACGAGGATTGCTATCTTCTGGTTTAAAGGACCATGAATGAAAGAATGAAAGTTATGATGGTAGGAACTAATGTTAGACATAAGACACCATACAGTGAAATATATTTGTGAATTTATGAACCTAACTAATTGAAATGCGAGTGTCTTGAAACTTCATGTTTTGAAACTTAATAGCTTGTGCAAGTAGTTATACTATCCAATGCAGTTTTCTCAAAAATCTGTGGATAATTTTTAGAGGTTTGTTCTTTTCTACCACATTCATCTTCAGCACCACTGTTTCAGATCTATATTAAAATATTTTTACTGAAAATTATTTCGTACATGTGGATTTTGACGCGGTTTTATCTGTTCCTGCGAACACATTAAAAATTTAATATTTTCAGTGAAGGAATATTTCCAAACATCTTTTGCATTCATACAAATTCTACAAATCCTACATTTTCATTCTACGCAGATGAACAAAAAGACATGTTTTATATACATGTTTCCTACAGAACTTGCAGATGTTGATGACCACCCAGAGCTGGTCTCAAAATTGTTTATTGCTTCGGTCGAAACAGGTTTTGTTTCTGCCAAACACACACATTGCTTTGAATTAAATGGACTCCATCGAGAGTAGATAATCTTGCACCAGTTTCATAGAATATATACAATAAGGTAATGAGTTGGATGTTACAAAAAGAGCATTTAAGAAGGGGAAACTCATTGTGAGAATCCCTCTTCATCTGCAATGAACTTTAAAATGAGATGCTATTTTTGATCATGTAATTCAGTGCATCTCTTTTAGGCAGACTAATTTGTTTTTAATAAAAATTGGCAATATAAACATATGTTTGAGAATAAGGTGAATTTAAAATAAGATTTCATTTTACTGCTAACAGTCGAGGAGATCAGATTGGATGTGTCATATGATGAATACTACAAGCGCCTGGTGGACCAGTGTGCCTTCAATATTGCCTGCTTGGCAACTGTGCATGATACCAACTACGAATACTTCGCACAGGACGACTTCAGAGTCCGGAAGCCAGATATCAAGATTAAGGTAGGATTTCAGGTTTTCATGGTGATGTGAATATAAGGTGGGTGATTTCCAGAATTGTGCCGTGTGGTATTCGGGTGTGTAGCAGTGTTTTGGAGGAACATGGTGCCTCCATTTTTCAGCCCTAAACATTGGCTGAAGATACAGGTTCTGTGTTCCTCTGATATTCTGGCACACAGGAAAAATGTTACATGGAGCAACAACCCAGAAAATTGCAATTTATAGAAGATTAAGGTAGGTTTTAGACTTTTATTTTTATGAGAGTTCAAGTACATGTTGCGCTAGACGGCAGCTGCCCCTATATTGCTTCTGACGAGTGTTACTGTTGACTGCTGAAAAGTAGAATTTGGGAACATTTGTACTTAAATTTAATTATGAAAACAGTATTACAAAAGTGCCATTTTATATTCTCACTAGCTTGAAAATGAGATAGCCAGTAATGAGGCCAAGATATTAACCAAGTATCTTTGAAATGCACATCTAAATTAATACCAGTTTATCATTGTGAGTCACATAAAAAAGCCATTGATTTTTAGTTTTTGTATTAATGTCTTTGGTGATGGTATTACATTACTACTTTCTTTGTTTTGGAATTCATTTATCCACTGTCTGTTGAAAGATTTTGACTTTTAAAAAAACTTTCAACAGCTGATAACTGAAGTACAACAACAAACAACTGTCTCCAAAAAACACTGATATGAGTTAGAAGGTTTTGAAATGTTATGTTTAGATTTTTATCTATTAATTATCATGGTAATTAATTTTTTTCAATTTCGAGGAGATACAAAATTTTCTAGTGAGAATGTCTTTTCTAAACGTATAACATATATTTTAGTAGCTCTGTACAAAATGTAATGGTTACACTGCTATGACTTGATCAAGATGTTTAACAATTTTGAAAGTGTGCAAGCAGGCAGTTGTTCTTCACACCCTGATCTCCAGAGTTTTGTATCCCTTTAAAATCTGTTACTGATTATTACCAAACAAACGTAACTGACATTTCGGTGGTGGAATTTCTGTCACACCAAATGTAATGATCAAGGACATGATTTCCAGTTTCCAACATTTTTTAAAACTGTACATAATCTGGTGTTTCTCTCTAGTATTTACCTCATACACATTCAAAACATATTGGACATCTGAAAATATAAAAGACATTTTTCTTGACAATTTAGAAAGTAAATTAAATTGCATTATAAATGTTCATACGTTTGTTTACTTTATAATATTTTGCCTTCTGATTTTGTAGATTGATGGTGAGGCACAGCAAGGCCAGGAGTTTAGTGCCACTGCCACATTGAAAAATCCATTGCCATCTGCTCTAAAGAAAGCCCAGTTTATCATTGAGGGTCCAGGCCTGACTTCTCAGCTGAAGATCAAACTGCCACAGTAAGAAAAATTTTCAGTTTTCTTTTCATCTGTAGTCCTTTGAAGAGTCTGGACAAATTATACATTTAGTGGAATAATTATATAATTTACAGTTATAAAACATCAGTTCTATGTATCAGATTTTTTCATGATCAATAAGTAATTTTTTTTACCTTCTTTGCACGTAGTAGTCGGAATAAGTGTATACAGTGGAGGTCATACCGCTCAGGTTTTTTTTCTCTCCAAATATTAAGTACACAATTCATCAAGTAATTCAGTGACTTGGTTTGCCAGTGGTGGTGGAAGAATTATGGTGCTGTGGGAGAAAGTAGATTTTTTCTTATCTGCAATAAAGTAACGTGTGGTACAAAAAGTACCAAAGAAGGCATTAGCGTAACATGTTGAGAGTGAACGCTTATGTTCACTCTGTATACTCAATTTTGAAATGCACCTTTCTGGACTATCTTATATATTCAATAGATGGAAGAATTTTTTTTGTAGCAATGAAGCGTCTTGTAAAGCAGCTGCTTGGGAAAATGAAACATACGCAGGAGTGTAATATGCTATAATGAAGAGCACTGTAAATGAACAGATATTTACCTGAGAATTTCTTGGTCTCTTTTATCATTTAGTCGCCAGTATATATTGTATGCCATTTAAAGGATAATATAATGGTTACAATGAATTTCAGAGAATGGTCAATTGGTCAGGTAGATAGTTTCCAATACTTACTTATTGCTTGGGCAGGTGACCATTATCTTAATCAGGTAGGTAGATCTTTAGGTGGTTTGTTGAGTAGTTCTGTCACGAGGAAACAGAATGAAACTGTCATGGTCCTGTTGCATTCCATGTCTAAGAATATCAGATGGGAATTGACTGGTATTTTATGAAACCTAGGACTGATATCTGATATCAAAATGACATCATATTCTGTACTTGTATCCAACAGGAATATACCCCCAGGTGGCGAGGCAACAGCTACGTTCAAAATGACACCAAAATTCTCTGGAAGAAGTACCATTGCTGCCAAGTTTGTGTCAAAGGAACTGGAGGATGTAGATGGCTTCTTGAACTTTATGATTGAACCAAAAAAGGAGGTTGTTAATGGCACTGGCAATGCTGCATGAAATGGCGCGAACTATGAGACTGGATTAAAATGTATTTTAATGGCTGTATGTTTTTTCAGTGGGTGCTCATTTCATTTAGATGGTGATGAGTGCTTGTATATTAAGATGTTACTAAAACTGTCTTAATTTGCAGCATATAATTGCACAAAAGTGTTCAAATTTTACGTAGTCCCAATTTTAGAAGGATGGTTCAGTTGCAGCCAAACTGTTGCCGCTTAAATCTTTGTTTCATATTCTGCACACAAGATACAGTGTTTCTGAATATTAATGTAATACTTAAAATTTAAATTGTTCTTTTTTAATGTTGCCTGTGGAAGTATGTTAAACCAAATGTACTGAATGCATATTTTTATTCTGATTTTTAAATTTGGTAGCTCGTCGTGCTAATACACCAGGTCCTAATCTTATGCGTCAAGCCCTTTAATTTACTCTCAGGGCATGAATTAAGTTATTTGCTAAGATTTGTAGTTGTCTTATAAAGTAATTAGCTCTGGCAAACTAAAAACAAACACTGTTTCTGCAAATACTGAGGTACAGTATGCGACTTTAATATTTACATCCATTATTTGATTACACCCGTCGAGTATAAATAATTGTTTTTTCCTTCCACAGTATCTATTTTGATCAATTTACGACTGTCTTCAGGGGTTATACCAGCAATATAAATTATAAGTTTTACATGATTTTTATGTCCCAAAAAAGTCACATTTTAAATTGCGACACAATTTTAAAATATTTTCAAATGTTGGTGCTATAGTTAGTGCCTGGTCCATATTTTGGGTACCATTTACTATTTCTCCATAAAGTTACTAACATTTAAAATTTTCACACCTTTCTTCGCCCTTTCGAACTATTCATAACCTAAAACCATTCCTCTCATGACTAAATTCTTATTCTTAATGGAATGAAAATGATTATGTATCTCCTGTCTGGAGGGGAAAGTCTAATTTTTGTTTACTTTTTTTTCCAGTATTTGTTGTTCTTCCCTTAATTTGTAGCGATGACAATATCAGTTAGATTCCCTCAGCTACCAGAGGTCACCTATCTTTCTCCTTGCTAAGAGATGCCGTCTGATAGTTTGCAATTTTTGCACACAGGCGAAGGCTGACAAATAGCAAATATAATTCCTTAAAAACAACCTGAAGGTGGGAGACATGTAATAACTTTCTTTCCATATGGAATTAAGAGTGTCACATAAGACTTCGACACACAAAACTATTTTATAAAGCAGCAATAAGAAATTTATAAAGATGTTAATAATTTCAGATTGACAGTCATAATATGGACATTTTTAATGTTAATTTTATAGAGGACTAGTAAATATGAAATTTTTTGAAATTGCTGGTAATTTAAAATGTAATAAGTTTAAGATATTAGAAGCACGTAAACCTTGTACACAAGCGTGGCCCCCCTGAAATTTGTTTAAAATGAACAGAAATATGTTGGTTGTATTTTGTGACTGTAGGGTTTTAATTTTTTTTTTTTCCTTTTTGGTCAACATTAAAATAATATGATAACCCTGAGGGATCTCCAATATTTTACATCTGTACAAAAATATTGATTTATGATGTTCATTTAATATTAACTTTGGTTAAAATTAAATCATAAGATTGCTGTTTTATTCTATATAAAGTTGGTAACCCTGATTCTACTATTACTGTTCAAGTATCTGTGTCATATGAAAGGAAATGATTGCATTTATATGTTCAGGTTTCTCGTAAAATACGCACTATCATATGAGCAAATTCATGACTTTCTTGTGTGAAAACAACCTGTTTGATGACAAAATTAATTAATTTCTAAATTTTTTTATATTTCATCATTATTGTATTGTTACAGGTATTTTACTCATTCAAAAAAGTTAAATGGGGCAGATAATTTCTGATATAGACTTTGTCAATTTTTGATCAGATAGTCAGCTCTTATCCTTACTAATTTTGCTTTAGGTTCCCGTACTACTACAACTACTATGGCGTAACAGCCCAAATTCGAGCCCTAGCCTCTTCTAGGTTCCCGTACACTTTGTTGTAATTTTAGATTGTATTTTTGGCATCACTTGTTGGTATGAGAATTACTGCTTTGAAATGTCTCTCGTCCATTATCACCACCGCCACTGACATCATCATAATCATTTGTTGTCCTTCATTATTTTAACTATGGCAATACTGGACTTGAATATAGGTCATAACATTTTTCAGTAGACGTACTGAAATAAAATAATAAAGAAGACTGCTTTTATATATCTATATTTACATACATACTTACATATGGTATTTGTGTTGACTTATTTCATATTAAACATACTCGTGTAGCAGGCTGTTATATCTTATTATGAATTTTCTACGGTACGTGTGTTAAAGTATGACGTAAGTATAAGAATATGCAGTTAGCTGTTGTGTTACTCTCAGTTTTAAAATATTTATGGTAAAATTAGTAACCGATGATTGGGTGGCTAATTTCTGTGTGTGAGCTTGCGTTACGTTGCGTGAATTGCATTCAGGTTATTGGACTTTATCGCGTGGCAATTATATTTACTATTTGTAGTATTAGTGAAGAATACTTCTCTATGTTAGTTTACATTTTACAATGAACCTGCGTTTTGCATGTGAGAACATTTATTTCGCTTGTATGAAGACTGAATAGGAATGAATGTAAGAGTGTTATTAACTAATCAGAATTTATGAAATGCATTTAAGATGTGGCAATTATACGCAGTGTGTTTATCAGCCATAAATAATCATTGTTTTATTTTTTATATATATATTTATAGAAATTATAATTTTAATTGATTTAAAATGATTAGAAAGCCTCAAACTACAGTGATTTTTTTCTATGTTTTGATTCAGAATTAATTTATTAATTAATTTTAATGTTTAGGACATATTGAAGGATTAATAGTACTAGATTGGTATTGAAACTTGACAGTATGATAATATTTTGCAGTTTTGCCTGTTTATCACAGCCAGAAAAAAGTGTCTTATTTGTCATGTTGTATTCAGTCAGATGCTGATAAAGTTTTATGTTTTGAACTTTGTAAGAAAACCACATCAAGAATAGTATAGACCCAAAAAGAATTCATATGAAATATCTGAATCTCATATCAAACTGTGATTAAAACAAAAATATTTTACAGTGAATTTCATGGTAACGTTAGTGAACTTGGATTTTAAATAACCTGAAATATACGCCAAGACATTTAAAAATGTTTATATTTAGCTTCTGTTTGTGTGTTTACCATATAGGCTATATACTTTAATTTAGCATTTGTTTTATTTAATAAAAATTATGCTTTAAACTTCTTTTTGGTTATATTTTACCTACATTAACAAATACATGTTTCAAAATGTAAAAAAAAAAAAGGTGTAGTTCCATCGCGTTGCTGTTCCTACACAAATGTCTGTGTCCACCTTTCAATCTATGCTAGAAGTATGTTCATACATGCAAGGACCTGGACTAATTATTTTATAATTTTTTTTATTTGCTTACATTTAAAACTGCTGATATGAAGTTTTTAAAAAAAACTGAAGTCCTAAGTGGTGGTGGGGGCATATTAACCTCTTCTTCTGGAAGAGATTTCACTGTAATTTATAAATAAATGTAGCTCGTAATTAGACACTTCTGAAATATCTTGAATATTGGGAAAAATGTGCATTACAGATGTAGACATTTTCTGTAACACAAAATTGCATGTTTCATCTAGACTGATGATTTAAGATACAGGCCTGGCCATATTGTATGAACACGCACTTGAACTTGTGTGCAGAAGAGTCCTCATTTACTCTCTGATTTTCCAACGCAAGATGATTTTTATAGCAGTGCAACATTAACTCTTTATCTATTTCTTCAGTGTTATTACAGATGAAGCAGGCTTTACTGTGGATAGCATAATACTTGTGGGAGGAGTGTTCAATCTAGGTAAAAAAAAGTAAAGTTAATGCTGTGGGCCACCACATAAATTTAATTTCTAAGAATTCTAATATGATTACTGTAAATGTACCTAAATTGAAGTTACAAATGTTTGTGGAGCAGAGATAAGGGTGTAATTTTTGTTGGGGTAGTTTCACCACATCTTATTTCAGCGCGTATCATTTTGTAATTAATACGTGTGTATAGAGCGAAGCTTTCACCGCGATGTTGATGAAAGATTCTCGGGTTACAAGCTGCGTCGGGTGGCTGAACGGCGAATAAACCATATCTTCTGCCGATGTTTCGAGAACATCTCTGCTCTCATCCTCAGGGCTGCTGGGTAATAAACCTGTTCCTTTGTTGCGCGCTCGCTGATGTAAGAATCTTTCATAAACTAATACATGTGTACTTTGAAAGAGTTAATTTTTGTAAAGAAGACAAATTGATTGAATTTGAAGAGTTGTTTGCGTGTGTATTCTTTTTTGAGGTTGATAGTACCACAAACTGAAGTATAAGATGGAAAAATTTGAATACAGACTGATTATAAATGAATGGTTGTCTGTTTTTGAAGTGACTGTGGAGAGACTTTGACAGACATTTGTGTGCAGCCCACAAAATTCAACAAGATTTGGCAGCTGGGAAGTCACCATTCATCAGCTGACTAGAAAATTGTCAGGAAGAATTTTACGGTTAAAATGCCAAGAAGATGGATTGCCAGAGGCAGAAGACCCCAGAGCTAAGTTTGTAAGATTTCTTGTTTTGAGGATATTTTATAGAGGCTGTCTTCTCCTCCTCACCTCCCATTATCTCAAAATCTTAAGCACAAAATTCAAAATTGAGATTCTTGTGAATAAATTTTTGACATGTTGTCCAGTGTTTGGAATGAGATTGATTATTTTGGTGTGTATAATTACCATTGGGGTTCGCATTGAAACCAGATAATTTACAATCAAAACTTTGAGAGATCTTGTCTATGCTCTACAGATGTCACTGTGCATAGCTTACGTTTTTTAGAATTAAAAGTGTAAAGAATATTTGTAATCATCCTGTATGTATATATGTATTTAGATTTATTGAAAATGGTTACAATTTGAGAAATGTTTTTAGTATAACAATGTTTACCAGACTTAATAAAACCCATTTGGTGATCCTTCATCAAGTCAAACGACTCGAGATAAAAGAAAAATCATTGAATGCTATTTTTTAAAAAAATGAAAGAAATTGCAGCACAAAGACTTTTTAGAGTACCTCTGCTTTTATCACCACGGACAGTAATTGTAGAGAATTGAATTCTAATTGTAGGTTCAGCTTCCAGTATTGTGAAATTTTGTTTTTGTGACATTGCATATAAAAGTCCAGAACATAACCTAAATTTTGTCACAGAATACAGATGTTGATTTGAAATATACAGTTTTATATTTTGCTTACAACCGGTCCATTTTAGCAGTAGCAGAATAGGTTAATGAGTGCCAATTACTCAGGTCTGATGCTAAATCATTACTGCCATAAGCTCTGTCTCCATCTGATACAGATCAGTTTTGGGAAATACATTTTTAGGCAGGTAATTATATTTTATACTTATTGTACTCGTATATGAAAATATGTCTGTGTTTCAAACTGTAAAAGGTAATATTTTTATATGAGAATAGGATTTGATGTTTGTGCTATGATTCATGTAAAGTTTTATAAACAGAAGAAGCTTGTTTGTATCTGATAACAATAATTTTTTTTTTCATAAACCTAATTATTGTTTACCAATCCTAAGCCAGCGTCAATAATAAAGTTATTTAAGACAGTGTAAAGGTCGTTATTAACATGTGTGTTAAATCATTTTATAATGTTAGGTCGAAGTGTAGACGTCCATCAGTATGACGCATTATAATTCCTGATTTGACGTATTACGTATCCTGAGGACGTTAACAAATTTGTGATATCAGGTAACAATATTTTCATGATAAAAGTTCAGACTACTTTAGTTTTCATTCACGTTTCGTTTCGTTTATTAAACAGGTTAAACAAAAATATTTCTGTGCGTGTTCACAGAAAGATCTGTCGGCCCTCAAGTTTTTGACTCGCTCGTATTTTATGTTCGTATTTTCTATATTCTCAGGCATTATTTGCCCCTGTTATATCTTACAGAAGTAGGTTTTGAGGGTGCAGATTGGATTAATCTGGCTCAAGATATGGAAGTGTGGCGTGATCATATGAACACGGTGATGAACCTTCTTGTTCCATAAAAGCCGAGGAATTTCTTGAACCCTATAGACCGCGCAACTGCGCTTATACGTAAACATGACCCTATTTGATTTAGCATTCTTTCGTATTCAAACAGTTAAGTGCTACCTGTTGCTACGGGTTAAGTGATTCCAAAATAACCATAATCGTTCTGCATTAATATGACCTTGGAAACTGAATTACTGTTAAGTATTGCAGATAATTACTACTACAGCATCATAACTCCGCTGTTGAGCCATGTACCAGTTTGTCTCCGTTTTGTAATAGAGGCCTTTGACATTATACAGACATAGGCATTACACAAAGTGAATAATCAAGTGACCAAATTTATTTATTTTTTGGTAAGGAATTAAGCAAATACATACAATTGTACTAATTTCTGCACGTGAATTGCCTGTGTTGTTCGTTTTGTAGGCATGGAAGCACTGTCCTTCACTTGGATATTCAAACGAGGGTACAAATAGTTTTGTATTGTAAGCATTTCATTCGTTCCTCGCACTTGAGTAAGCTCCCGGAGTCCGAATTCATAATAAATCACAGCTGATTGGAATACCATAAACAAGAGACAAGTACCACACTGATCAAGAAATTTCCAACCGGGAATCTCAGTGTCTGTATCTCAAAATAGACATCTTTGGACCAAAGTGTATTTGCATTTTTTGCTTCTCTATCGTCATTCAGTATGTCCTAAAATTTATGGAAGACAATATTGAATGACACTGTATATTCATAGAAATTATTAAATGCGCCCACCATGTTTTATTTAATGGTGGTAGCTCTGTCTTGATGTCACGATGAGTAGCGACCACGTTCAAAACAGCACACAATCGCTGAGCGCTTAACGAGTTTAGTTTGTCAGAGTATGAAAACCAGAATGACGAAAAGTGACGTGGTAGCATGGCGGAGAAGAAGAGGTTGTTTACAGTCGAAAGTAATATAATATTTTATTTGCAAGTTTGTGGTTCCATGTGTAGTGTACAAGTATTGTAATAAGAGAACTGATATCTGCAGTCAGCTTTTTATACTAGGCATAAAATTCGTTCGTTTCTCCCTAGTGTTTTTGCTTATTCTGAATCACACGAGCGCTGAACACAATGTGGTGTATTTATGAAGCTCCTTGTCGTTCTGTTTCCGGATTACGAGAAGGGAGTTTGAACATTCTGATTTTATTGTGTGTTACGACAAATACTTTGCTGTGTAATGTGTACATGATACAGATGAAAGGGAAACGAAGTTTCTTCAGGATAGCAGACACTTCCTGCAGGCGGTGAGTACGAAGATTGTTCATACATTTCCCACGGTGTGTACTGGGTCCAGTGTAGTGTCGTGTTACCTGCGGACGCCAGTAACCTATATATAAGCCTTTTGCAGAACCGACTTCTGAGCGAGCCAAATATCATTGCCCCTAAATCAGTGCCCACTTAATTTAAATACTCGCCTTTAGTTTAATTGATTATAATATTAAAAGAGAAATTGTTTGACGAGAAACTGAAGACGTTTATAGAGTAAACAAACCAACAACTATTAACACTATAATAAGATACTACTGCCATACGCGTTTCGACCTCAAGAAATCATCAGTGGACTAAATGTATTAATTTACCTGATTATTATTCTAATACACTACACGGTATGCAAAATTTTAAGATTGAAGACGTTTAAACTAAAACGGGTAGTTAATATGGTATTATATTAGTGGTTTTTTTGGGAATAAATTTCGTTACTCTTTTGTATGTCCTGTGAAAAATGTCGCTACCATTATGTTCTTTCCTACATGTTTAACCTAAAGTCTTGTCCCATTGCATAACTTCGGCGAGTGGGCTACTCCACGAAAAGAAAAATGTTGGTACTAGAACTTGTGTTTTGTTATCTTTACTTCGTTTTCAGACAATTGTCTATTGAATTTAGTTTTCAGTGTAACAAAAACTATCTTCACCGGGATTCTAACCCAGGTAACATTTTTCGGGGTGTTAGCCTTTGTCACTTTAATTCGCCGAAACAAACAATCCTAGTGTTGCCTATCATTTTTAGATTCCAAAGTAGAGAAAACGACTTGAGTCCGGAATAATGTTTTCTGTTTTGTGCCTTTCGTTCCTGCCATCTTCTGCCCGAAACTAACAATTGTTGTCTTAAGATGAAAATGACTGTCTTCTGGGTTTTTGCGTCGTTAGTCTGGTGTCCGGTAGAAGTGTACTAACGTCCTTTAGTGACTCGTCGCCCTGATGATGGAGGCATCAAGGAACTCCGAAACGTCGGTAAATTTCTACCAGACTACACGGCGCAACAACCCAGAAGAGAGCTATCTTCAGACTCACTGCAGTGAAAACTTCAAAATCTAAAATTGTTGTCGTTTTCGTGTTTTTATACCGTCATTAGTTTCCAGAGCAACTACAGAAAGTATCTTCACCGGGACTGGAACTCGGGAAACTTTTTCGGAGTTTTGACTTTTCTGAACTCGCTTCCTGATTTCAAGGCATAATCGCGACACATCTGAGGCAAATCGGTTTGTCCGTTCTCGTGCTGTAAGCGAACATACATACGCAGACACGTACAAGATACGTAACATAATTTTATTTTAGTTTTAAAATATAGTTGTTGTAGGAGAATGTATTGTTTTTATCTGAATCTGAGAGTTCCCAAATCTAAAATTGTGATATTTTTAAAAATCTTTAATTTTCCTAATGCTAACGATTGACACAAATCAATAAGTTGGTTTAAAGCCTTCAGTGTTTGCGTGGGCTTTGTGGGCGATGAATGAGTTGTTAGTTTGATGAGTGAAACTTTATATAATTTTCCAAGCCCTAATTATAATTTTTCTAGTGGTATTTGTTGTACCTAGTCATTCCGAACACTATTATGATTTTTCAGTCTGTTTTTAAATGTTTTACGCTACGTAATAATTCTTATGTGAATTGATTCCAGTGAAAATCTAACAGGTAAACCGTTTTCACCCACGAGCTCATGAAATACTGAGTAGCTAGTACGCACACAGCGTATGTCTGGCCATGTTTTTATCTTTCGTCATAATTTCTTCATACCATTTCAATTCTGCAAGGATAACAGCCAATGTATGTCGTACATTTGTAACTTGTTTCAAATTACTTTCATGGCATATAATTTTGCAAAGTATTAATTACGTATAGCCTATTATTTTCGCTTATCATTTAATCTTTTGGTACTTGCATTCAGATCAAAGGTTATTGACCGTAATATATTACATCGAAGTTGGATGGGAGTCAGGATATCAATTACTCGTGATTACAGACCAGAAGAGAATTAACATTTTCTTCTAAAAAAAAGTTAGAATCAATTTGGTGCATTTTTTTTGTTTTAGTTTAGAGAAAATTTGTATCTGGACACTGAACACAGGTTAGATTGTTGTTTTTTAACGTCTCTACACCGACTGGAGAAACTGTTTAGTGACCAATGAAAAGAGAGATTTAAATACATTTTTTTTTGGATGTTATCCATCGTCTAGTAAATATAAAACGTAAAAACGACGTTTCGGAGATGGGACTCTATCTCCGTCTTCAGGTTCCTACTCAGTTGGGCCCACTAGATAGAGCTAATCCCTATCTCCGGACAGGAGAGGAGTGCCTGTTTTAATTTGGTAGGAAAAATCGTGGCCTATTTCAAGGTACTATGACGTAATTAGCGGGAAAAGTGAGTATAATTACAAAATTGCTCAGAAAGTATGTCCTGGCAGCTCCGGAGTACAACTCAAAAGCGTTTCACGGTTTCTCACTACAGAGGTCCGGGTTTGCGTCCGGATCAGTCAATGCGCGGTTTGTGGTGACCAAAGTGGCGATGAGAGAGGTTCATCTCCGAGTTCTTCGGATTTTCCCTGTAATATTAATTTCAACTCTACTCCGAATTCTCTCATAAATCATCTGAGAGATGGAAGAATGGTCCATTTAAAAGGCTCAGTTCCGCAAAGGCAAAGTCTCACCCCATCGAAACAATCAAAAACTTCGCTTACGCTAAATTCTTCTCTGTGAAAGATGTTTGAATAGGAAAGTAGCGCGAACTTGTGAAACGCTGGTGAACTTCTACCAGAAGTTAGTATGTTCTGCTAAGAGATGGCAATAGTAGACAGCAAATATTCCAGCACCATCTATCGTAACATTGTACGGTTTCGAGTGTCTGTTGATAAAAGCTGTCCCCTCCCACCCCACATATTCTTTCTAATTCACAATCATTCTACCATTCGACGCCACAAAATATAAGTTTTTTGAAAAAGTGTAATTAAATGAACCAAAATTTATTATCATGAATATGATGGCAAAATATTAATTTTTGCAGACATGAGAGCTACGTTGGTTTTAGAATGTGTCAAGGTCTCTGTTTACTCGCAATTTTTATTATTTTTAGAGTTACGTATGTAGCCTGAATGAGTTTGAAAGGATCGGAAAGAAATGTAAGTGGATGGATAAAATTATTTTCTTGCGCGAACAAAAATTTAGCGAGAAAGCATCTTGGAGAATCACTGTTATAAGGACAGACGAAAAAGGAGTCAGTTTTGTTAAATACTCTCTTCAGAAATCATTTGCATTCATATAAA